AAGTAGGTGGTAGTGAGAAAAGTTATTGACATGCAAAATCCCATCATTAGGGCCATTACATTTCACACCAGAAAAACACAATGAATCTGAGTTACATCTTTAGCTTAATTGTCTATATATATATATATATATATATATATATATCAGACCATAATCTATCTATTAACCCTATGGATACAGGTGGGTCAAAGTGTACGTCCTCACCTTTTTTACAACAAGTTTAATCAAACTACATTATTATCAATTTGAGTCAATAACCTTAGCATTACAATGTAATTTACAGTTCAAATTTTAATATTATCTAAATTTTAATTACATGGTTTCAAAGGAAATATTTACATTCTCCTTCTTCACTTCTCTTCATCATGACTCATCTGTACTCTGAATTCCCCTTTTTCTTTCTATCTTTTTATGGGTTTCAGTATTCAACTAACTACAAACTTAAACTATAGATGCTGACAAGCAAGAACATTAAATCTGACACGACATTCCCATCTGTCTCTGTCTATAATTCTCTGACTTTTTTTATTAGACATGTTTATAATGATAGAAGTTAGCGTTCTCCTACACTGAAAATGTATTTTCGATAGATACTTACCTCCTCTCACAAAATTTTTTTTCTCGATTAGTACTGCCCTTTATCTAGCTTCCACCTCCAACTTCTGTATATCCACATGCAATAACTCTCCACCAATAGGAGCACAACACAAACCCTATCATAACCAGCATCCTCTTGACATTTGCAATCGTTAATCACTTTAAGATTGGTCAGAAGCCCTACACCACATATCCCCAGAAGTGGGGAGGCTGGGTGGTAAATGTGAGAGGGGTAAGTATCCATTGGAAATTCATTTTCAGTGTAGGAAAATGTTAACTTCCAATACAATATCTTACCTCCGCTCATAAAATATCTAGAATCCCACATTGAACTTGTGGAGGGCTGGTGAAAATATGATCCTCCTTTAAGAAGTGTCCATAGAGAGACCAGGAGGTGTGGAACCAAAAGAGAAAATATCACACCTGAGCAGAATTCTGCACCATATCTGATCCAGATATACTCTTTGCTCTTTTATGACAGTGCCATGAACATAAAAAAGTGGAAACACATGAAGGAATCTCAGAATATACATGAAGGTATGACCGATTAACCCAGGTACTCTTTATTGCACATGAGACAAGGTTTTAGTTCAAAATTTTATTCAACTACTTTTTGTTTATGTTATACCAATTAAAATACCATAAAAGCTTAGCTAATAATACGTATTTTAATAGTATACAAGTTTTAAGTTCTTAATTCTACAAGAAAATATTAAAAAAAATCCTGAATTTCCAATAGAGTGACCCATGACATTTTTTATTGGCATTATATCATCCCTATTTTATCAATCAACTCTCGAAAATGTATTAAATTAAACGTAATAAAATCGTTATTACTCAAAGAAACCATAATTTTTATAGTCTTCAATTTTGTTTTGTTACAGAACTATTGAATAGAAAATCAGAATGTAGTTTCATGTTACAATTTGAAGTCATTCTTGAAAGAAAAAAAAAAGGTTAATTTAGGTATATTTAAATTTTTTTTTGGTGGTTACGAGGTCAGTCGAATTGACCGATCCTATTTTGAGATAGGTAGAAAAAATAACAGATAAACTATAAAGTTTTACTGACAAAAAACGTTTGGAATGCATTTAGGAGGTTTTAGGGACTACACAAAGGAAATTTGAGATGACGAAAAGTTTTTTTTAATTTTAACAAGAAAATTACTTTGCACACAGACTTTTCAAAACAAATATTCTATATATTCATGGACAAATCTTCTTAGTTGGACCATCTCTAACCAACACCAGGCCCACCTGGAATGTACCTTCAGAGAATGGTAAAAAGGAGGAAGACCCCAGTAGGAAAAAAACAATCAGTCAGATATATAGACAGTAATACAGCATAATGCTACAACCAAAACCTGACAGCATATGGAATTGTACATCAGGTCCATGTTAGGAAGTGCCATACGTCATCAACACCAGCAGAATGCCACTGCCCTACTCTCAACTGAGTGGTACGAGTCATCATTCAGGAGGACAGGCCTTTATGGTCCACCACCCCAGAGGCTAGGAACTGGTAAGTGGTAAAGACTCCCACGTCACTGAAGACAGTGCAACGGGTGACTGCGATACCCTATTTTGAAAAGCAGAGCTACCACATTGACAAAGTCGATCAACCAAAACCTGGCTGCATCTTGAACTGTACATCAGATCTGTGGTAGGAAGGGTCTCAACGCCACAAGCTTCAGAGATGGGCAGTAATCCCTGTCTGCTTTACTCGTGTCAATCCACGATTGTACAAACTGGGATGAACATATTTATGATGCTAAAAAACCACTAGGAAGAACCATTAGCAATCACGAAGTACACCCCATCTCTGTGGTGAGCATAACCCAATCCTGCTAAGCTAGAAATCCAGCTAAATTACAATAGTTTTCGATGTACTATTTGAATGGGCTAAAATAATGTAACGATTAATAAAAGCTTGACAAGTTTTGTGTAGATACACTCGGAAAATTCAGTTATAGTATGGTTATCTTCTTCTTCCGTAGCTTTTTCCCGTATCTATACGGGGTCGCTATTTTCGGTTTTGGCATGGTTTTTACGGCCGGATGCCCTTCCTGACGCCAACCATCCTCTAATTTAGCAGTGTAAGACTAGAGGGAAGGCTGCTAGTCATCACCACCCACCACCACCAACTCTTGGGCTACTCTTTTACCAACGAATAGTGGGATTGACCGTCACATTATAACGCCCCCACGGCTAAAAGGGCGAGCATGTTTGGTGGGATGGGGGCGCGAACCCGCGACCCGCAGATTGCGAGTCGAGCGTCTTACCCACCTGGCCATGCCGGCCCTAGTTATAGTATGGTTATATAGTGGTTATAAGGCTGGTCAAAACAAACAAGCCCATATACAGAAAAAAAAATTTATCATCAAATACTTTCAATCTATGGCACAGAAGTTGTCCTTGTGTAGCTTTGCCCAAATATTTTACATAAATAATCAATCTATGGCAATGCAAAGATATGGGTGGAGGATATTTCTTGTTAATATAGAAAAATTCAAACATAATTCTTTTTATGAGAAATGAACACGCTCTTACTACAAACATGGCCTGATGAGCCACAACTGTTTCCATTTGGTTTCTTCCACCCACGCCAATTGTTGCAGAGACTTTCTGGCTCACTTATCCAAGAGCAGAGAGAGTCTTCCTCAAAACGATCACTATCTTCAAACGAAAAGCGGTCTCCTTCATCCCAGTCGAACATGCCTGTAACTTCCATAAATGTTAAAATTTATAAACCAGTTTGGTTGATGATACGCTGTTTCTCCTCTAAAACAAATAATGTAGGCACTATGTATAGTCAAATACAATCTATATTACAATACATATTTCTAAATACAGTCTCTGGAAAAGAGTATTCAATATCTTAATGTGTATGTCATGTGAAAAGCAATGTCCAAGAAAACCATGCCTTGATCATGTGATTAACAGAAACATTTAGTCTTCACAAAGTATTCATCACCACCATTCGTAACAAATTCAGTTTCTTGCTTAGATACCTGCAGGTTCCTGTTCTGTTGAGTTGAAAAATATTCCATAACCTTTTAAGCTTATCGGTAATTATATGAAACATTTCATACATAAACTATCAGCTTTTGTTTAAGTTTGTTGTTAAGTTAATAAACAGAAGGAAAAAACATAGCATGAAGTTTAACTTTTTTAAATAATTAGTTTATTTTGAAAATCCAGCATATCTATTTTTTCTGTTTTGCCCTTTTCTAAGACAATCAAAAATTCTATATTGAATGTATTTCAAGGCATGGGCATTAACAAACATAATCACAAGGTATTCTAAGGCATGGGCATTAACAAACATAATCACAAGGTATTCTAAGGCATGGGCATTAACAAACATAATCACAAGGTATTCCAAAGTATGGACATTAACAAACATAATCACAAGGTATTCCAAAGTATGGACATTAACAAACATAATCACAAGGTATTCCAAGGCACTGACATTAACAAACATAATAACAAGGTATTCCAAGGCACAGGCATTAACAAACATAATCATAAGGTATTCCAAGGCACTGATATTAACAAACATAATCACGAGGTATTCCAAGGTATTGACATTAACAAACACAATCACAAGGTATTCCAAGGCACTGACATTAACAAACATAATCACAAGGTATTCCAAGACATTGACATTAATAAACATAATCACAAGGTATTCCAAGGCCAGGGCATTAACAAACATAATCACAAGGTATTCCAATGCATGGGCATTAACAAACACAATCACAAGGTATTCCAAGGCACAGGCATTAACAAACATAATCATAAGGTATTCCAAGGCATTGGAATACCTCATGATTATGTTTGTTAATGTCAGGGCCAGGGCATTAACAAACATAAGCACAAGGTATTCCAAAGCCAGGGCATAAACAAACATAAGCACAAGGTATTCCATAATTATTAATAACAAACAGAAAATAGGTTGATTCCAACAGTGTTTATAAAACCATTAAGGAGAGAGAGAGAGTTTAGTGGGTGATGCCAAACTAACAGTTTGTAGCACCAGAAAACCATTAAGGAGAGAGAGTTTAGTGGGTGATGCCAAACTAACAGTTTGTAGCACTAGAAAACCATTAAGGAGAGAGAGAGAGAGTTTAGTGGGTGATGCCAAACTAACAGTTTGTAGCACCAAGAAAATGTTAAATTAAGTCACGTTGAATTTATTAATAGAAAAAAGTATCAATATTGGTCAGAATGACCAGTAGAAAATGTTGGCTACTGGTCAACCTACTAGAAACTGATTACCAGCTAATATCATTGACAGGGTCTGTACACTAATGAACCGAAGACTCACAAGAATTAGCTTGGCAGCAGACAGTAGCTTCAGTAGTTACTAGGGCTCTATCCAACAGATTACAATTTGTTGGTATTCAATACGTTTCTTTTTTTTTAATTTTTATTTGTTTATGTGAAAATCAAGAGAATAAAAATAGTCAAGAACAAACAATCCATGAAAACAAGTGCCGATTGCTAGGACAAAAATACTGTATTACATGGATTATTACACATACTAACCAATTCACTGAAATATATAGACATCATGGAATTGAAAGGTGAATGTGACATGATCACAATATGATGAGAAGAAAAAAATGACAAGGTTCATTTTAATATATGAAGTAAGGAAACACAGCAAGTACAAGCAAAAGTCAAAGTTCTCAAAGAGTAAAACTAAACCAAATAAAGATGCACAGTCTGTTATAACAATTATGAGCAGTAATGTCATTAACCTAAAGATAAAACTGTCCTTCATGCAACAGAGAGAAACTAAAAGATAAACTACTTAGTGAGAATTATTATGAAACAAATCAATGTATACAATGGATTAGATTATCATTTTTGTAAATAACTTGTATTTCAGTTCCCAACTGTAGAAGATAAACAAAAACATCAACATACCAGCATTAAAAGAAACTTTGGCTACACATGTAACAAGTTCAATAGTCTGAATCAACGCAGCAGGGAAGCTAAAGCAGAAATGATGTCTAAAAACTACATAACATGAATATAACTAATTATATTTGTCATAAGACATTATGTTAGGCTTATTGTGTTTTCTGAATTCTAAATCTAGCCTCTCAAGGAGAGTTTATAATAGCAGTGTTTTATCCACACTATATCCATTTCTGACGGCACATTTCACTCAATCCAGAGCTCTTCAGGCCAGCTGGGATACAACAAACACAGTAGTGGTTGGAACACTTGTTTATAAAGCAATTGTGAAGGTGGTATAAAGATAAAAAACGTAACACTTTTAAAGCACAACGAGCAATGTAATGTATTCTGTTTGTAACAAATATTCTTTTATAAACATACCCTACATTCTCATGTTCACTTTGTCGTTTGTTTCTTTGCAAAATGAGATAATTAATTACAATATTATATGTTGAAAACCTCAAGATAAAATACTATTCCAATACAAGCACACCATTGTTTAATGATATCACACAATCTTTAACACAGCTTTCTCACAGTTTGTTTTAGCATGAGTAACTAAGATATTTATATAGATTTTATTGGCTAAGAAATATCAAACACTGTAAGTACAATTGTTTTTTCAATCTGACTAAACATCAGAAGTTTCAGGCACTGTTCGGTACCAATTTCTGCAACCTCAGAAGTTGTATCTATCTCAAGTTATAAAGCTACTTAAATCATAGAATAATTGTGGGAAGAAAATAAAGTTTTATGTTGAATATCTTAGGACTATTCACATGTTAAACAGTGTTTTCCTATTCAGCATTTCTAAATTAGACTTTTACTGTGTTACTTTCAAATGGGAAGTAATCTATTGCACACGTTATGAAAATATGGTGAAAAAAGATATTTTCTTTGAATTTCTTATTTAAATAGGTAAATATTGCAAAAAATATGTTTTTGTGGAATACATTTTAGTAAGTTATAAACGGGTATGTTATCTAGAAGTAACATTGCTTAATTGAAGAACCAACAAAAATAATTACGTGGCTTATTTAGATTCTTACCTGGAAGTAACAGGATTCAAATACTGACCTACAGTATTTGTATTTATATCAAGAAACAAATATTTATTAGCTGTAACTTACAATGTGAAATAGGGTTAAAATCACATTTTCAGAGTTTTTTTCATTATATATTTTTATAATGGAATTATGTTTGCTCTAAATTTGGAGATATTATGTATTCAACACATGGTAAACAAAGAGTTCTGTCTACCCTTTAAAGGAATTTGACCTCTGTAGACCTAGAAAATCATGCTGAAATTCTGCTTTCTACATGAATGTGCATGCAATAAACAGCCCACTCTGAACTGATACTGGGTTGGTAACATGATTTACTTTTTGTAACACAGAGAACCTAGTTTTTTTTTTTGTGTTAAAGTGTCCTTTACCAGTGTTCTATTGTTTATGTCTAATTTCACATGCACACAATGTCTCCAAAAATTATCATGAAGAACAATATGTAAATACTACAAGTTGAAACAAATTTCCCAGTTATGTATTGTAAACCTGTTTTTTATTTATTAAGATAATGCAAGTACTACAATTAAGATAATTTTCATTTTTGTAACAATTTTTTGCACTCTTCACCTTCAAAAACTCAAACTATAAAGATTTCAGTAACCAAAAATTTCAGTTAAAAAAAAAATGCCCAGAAATTATTATACAATACTGATGACAAGTTACACTAAATTCTCAAAAACTCACTTTAGAACTTTACTTCATTAGAGATAACTTTTTATAGAAACAGTCCTACAAATACTCACTTCTCAAGTACAATTGACAAGTTGACTGAGTACACATTCAAGATTAGGACTGGTCTGATCAATTAGGGAAGAAACTGACCACTTTTGGACACCAGCATTAGGAAACTTCATGTAGAAAAAACAAAAATATTATCAGTTCATCTTCCCAAGAAGCAGGGTATATGCATACATAAAAAATAATTAAAATAGAGACAAACTTCACTAGCAATATATGAGATTATTAATATAATGCAGAAATTATTATTATATTTTCATTGTATAGACAGAAACACAATTTCTTGACATGAAGAACTGAATAAAATTGTAGTTACTTATTGTATTGTCACAAGAAATAAGCCCTAGTTTGAAAACAGTTCATTATTCCAGCTAAAATCCTCTTCAAGCAACACTCTCCAAAAAAACAACCATCCTTTATTGACATTCAATTCAAACAACACTCCCCAATCACTCAACCATCCTTTAATGAAATTCAATTCAAACAACACTACCCAATCACTCAACCATCCTTTATTGGCATTCAATTCAAACACCATTCCCCAATAAAACAACCATCCTTTATTGACATTCAATTCAAACAACACTCTCCAATAAAACAACCATCCTTTATTGACATTCAATTCAAACAACACTCCCCAATAAAACAACCATCCTTTATTGACATTCAATTCAAACAACACTCCCCAATAAAACAACCATCCT